CCCAAAAAAATAATAATATTGATGTTGTTGACAGTAATATTATTGTGTTTACAGTTATTTTACTGTCAACGACAGTAGTATAATTATGCTGACTTGTCAACAAATCAAACAAAATTCAAATTACTACTTTAAAAATTACCATTACAATAATATTACATTAATTTACTATCAACGGCAGCACAATTACATAAATGTGTTGTCAACGGCAGTACAATTACGTTAATTTACTGTCAGTGACAGCACAATTACGGTTAACGTTTAGCGGCGGACGTCAAAAAAAAAAAAAAAAAAAAAAAAAAAAAACTTAAAAAAGTCAACCCGAACCCGACCCGAACCCGACCCGAAATAACCGGGTACCCGGTTGCCGGGTACCCGGTATTCTCGGGTCGGGTTCGGGTAATATTTTTTTTGAAAAAAACCCGAATAACCCGACCCGAATAACCCGAATAACCCGACCCGACCCGAATGCCCACCCCTATTGGCGGCAATGATTTTGATATTTCAGTTAAAATTTTAAATAATTTTGGTTTGAATTTAGTATAAATGCCGTTATATATGAATGCTAATTGTTCAGGTATTGCACATTTTTACGAATATCTGCTCATAGAATACGACCGACACTAATTCTAATTTTTTTTTTGTCTGCAAAATATTGAAATTAAAATGTAAAAATATATTTACATCATAGAACATTCGTAATAGTAGATGCAGTCAATATATTCGCCATCGATGTAGCATCGGCTTCAACTTAATTGTAATTAAACCACCTAATTAAGATATCTATAATGTTTAGGTTGTTATCTTCAATTTAATTTCTTAATTATCTTTGACTTTTGCCTAACATACATGCATGGACCGTCACATCTTATGTTAAACCTCATATAATGTTCAAGACATATATATATATATATATATATATATATATATATATATATATATATATATATTGAAGAAATAACTAATAATACCTAACTTTCATATTATATAGTTTATTGGTTTATATAAATTAGAACTTGTGTAATTCTATTTTCACATAAAATTAAAACCGAATGTTCGAATCACATAAATTATCCGATCCGAGTGATCCGGCCACCAAACTTTATTTTGAATAAAATTACCATATAGTTTATATTTAGTACAAAGGTCTCAAGATTTCTCTACATGTAAGGGAATATCTCCATAATTCGAGAAATCCGAGTTTATTTTATTTTATTTTATTTTATTTCAGGCTAACAATGATCATGTGTACGTTGCTCCACGTATGCTGATCAGAAGCTTATTATTCTTGGTAATATGGAGATTATTATTTGTCATGGTCCCCTTAATCAGACCCTGCAAATTTCAAGAATAATAAACATTAGCATATGTAAAGCGTTGGTCTAAGCATCAATTGTATGAATTTATTGGGCAATTAATAATCTTTTATATATATATATATATATATATATATATATATATATATATATATATATATATATATATATGTGTAAACCACAAATTTCTCGAGTCTGCAAAATATATAAATACAAAGACAAATAGGAAACCCGATAAATTTATTAATGAAAACGAAAGTGGATTACAATCTCTGGGAATTCCCCCGATTCTTCTCTTCTATTCTAAAATCGATTCAAGGGCTTAGAAGCTTTTTCTTGAATCAAATAAGTATAAACAGTTAAACCTTTATAAATTAATACAGTCGGGACTAGCAAAATTCTATTAGTTTAGCGAAATATTAAATTATCAAACTAATAATGGAGTAGGTTTTTACTGAATCGGGACCAGAAGAAACTATTATTTAAGCGATGTTATTAATTTATCGAGGTTCTACTGTTTAAACACCTCAAATTCAAATATGTTATGAATTCGAGGCGGAGGCTCGAGACGTGAGCTTGATAGCTCGTCTCTATGTGAGTCTAATTTTTTTATGCACCGAATACCTTCTTTTATAGCCGCAAACTAGGGTTTCTTGACAGATGTCGAGAGAGACCGTTAGACTGGGCTAGACGTTTTAAATTCCAATATGAACTTTAATCTAAGACCTAAAATAATGTCAGATTTGTCTTGTTTATTAATTAGTAATTTATTCAAAATTTCGATGTCTACGATATAATCAAATGAACACTGACTTTTTGAAGCAAAATTAATTTTTACATGAAAAAAAAATAATTAACCCTAAGATTAACTAACAAGAGGAGATTAATTAAATTAAATTAGTTGCTTACTGAGTGTAGTCAATGCGAATTCTGCCAGCATCAAGATTACCAATGGTGGAAAAGGCTTGTTGAGAGAGATCAAGCTGATTGGCACCACATCCAGGGCAGAGATCCACTATCCTCACCGTCACTTCACCGCTCCGGCAAGGGTTTGGTGTCTGGTTTGTGCCGCCGGTGCACCGGATTCTGTACCTCCGACCACATGCTGCTCCGTTGTTGTACAAACTAGGGTTTGCTGCTGCTATTAGCGTACCCTGGTCCTGAAACCCATAGCATGCAGATGCTACGTACGTACACCAAAAAATATATTGATCAATAATAATAATAATAATAATAATAATAATAATAATAATAATAATAATAATAATAATAATAATAATAATAATAATAATAATAATAATAATGGTAAATTACAAACACCTCCCTGAGGTATGGTCAATTTACGAAAAAACCCCTCTTGTTTGGATAATTACATCTACCCCATCAACTATGGTTTTTTCTTACACCTCCACCCTTATGGTGTCAAATTCAACATAATCATTTAGATTATGTGAAACGTGCTCTAGTTTGTACTTGTTTTGTGTAAAAATACAGTTTCTAATGCACCACAATCTGATATATACAAGCCAAAAACACATATTATGATCATCTTGTTTCAAAACGTAGAGTTCCAATAAGATAAAACGGGTACAAAAGTGATAATATTCTATATAATCTCGAAGATTCCACTAAATTTGATGAGTTGAGGGGTGGTTGTAATTATCCAAACAAGATGGGAATTTTCGTAATTTGACCATACCTCAGGGGTGGTTGTAATTTACCCTAATAATAATAACAACAACAAAAATAATAATATCAATAATAATAATTAGGAAGAGAGGAGCGACTTACGAACGTAGGTTGTGTAATAAGTGGCTGTTCCATCAATGGCAGACGCCATGGAAATTAGACTTGAAGCAATAACCACCACCGCCATCATAACTCTGATCTCGACTGCCATTTGTAAATCTCTAAATAATCTTTGCTTTCTTAAATTTCAGTTTCTTTTTAATTAATCTGAAATAAATATTGCATGCTAAGTAGCTGGAATTGATGAAACTTATATAGAAGTTTGAGGGGCTAGAAAAATGCACGTGTTCTTTAATTGGTCTAAAATGTACTTCCAAGAAAAATCACATGGTTGACAATATGGTTACTACTACCAAAGATATATAAACTTAAAAGGTAAATTACGGCAACTCCTGATGTAATGTTAAATTGCGAAAAAACTCATCATGTTTGTATAATTAATATCATCCTACTTAACTATGAATTTTTTTACACGTTCACCTTTACGGTGTCAAATTTAGTGGAATCTTTTGGATTATGTGGAATATTCTCCCGTTTTATCCTGTTTGAGTTCGACATTTTGAAACAAGATGATCATAAGATGTGTCTCTTAGCTTGTAAATATTATATTGTGGTGCATCAGAAACTACATTTTTGCACAAAGCGAATACAAGCAAGAGAACATTCCACTGAATTTTAGAACATTCTGTTGAATTTGACACCATAAGAGTGGACATGTAAAATTAAAGATTCATAGTTGAGCGGTGCTTGTAATTACATAAACATGAGGGATTGTTTCGTAATTTAACCTTATCTCAGAGGATGACCGTAATTTACTCCACACGTAAAACATTTGATTGGTCAAAATTAAGATGCTAAATTTTTTCTTTGTTGATAAAATTTACATCTGAGTTGAATTTTCCCTGGAAGAATTTCGAAGAACATTTTTATTTGCGTTTGAGGATAAAAGATCAATATTTATTTTCTGCTAATTAACGTGATACAATTTGTCACGTCACATGAAACAAGCAAAATTGTTGGATCATTCAAACATCGGACTATTCCATTTGAAATAATTATTATGCATTCTAGAATATAACATAAATTTGGGTCCATTAAGAGCATGTTTCGCTAAATTTATTTAAATAGTTGATAAACTTTTACATTAGAAAAGTTATTTTTAGTACTGATAAGTTGTTACGTCTTATTTTTAGAATTAATTTATAAAGTATTTAATTTTTACTGATGTAAGATCCTTTGTAAAAATATTACCAACCATTTTGGAAGAACTTATAAGCTCTTAAATATCTCATAAGTTTTTTTTAACAACTTATAAACTGAGCCAAACATTCTTTATATGTGAAATATTACGATTACGGTAATCAAATTTTAATTTTAATTTTAATTTTAATTTTAATTTATCTAATTATAGAGTGTCTTTAATATATAAAAGGGATGTAAGAGTAATAAGTTTTTTCTTGATGATGGACTAAATAAAATTATCGAAAGATAACTAACTTAATGTAGAAGTTTCGTTTTCTCCGTCATTTCGATTGTAGATGTAGGCTAAAACTCGAATTGCTTTGCTCCGTTTATTAATAATAGTAGAAAGAGGTTTACATCTATTACCAGTAGTACTATTTTCCCCCTTCATTAATCCAAATTTCTACCACAAAACCGAAACACTTCCATTTACAAAACCTTAAAACCTATAATCTATGCACATTTATTGTTTTTTTTAATATGTGCAAAACAATCCAAAACGACATTTAAATTGGGACGGAGGGAGTATCATAGTAATTAGTTAGTGAAGAATGATTATATATATAGTAACCATGTATAATATTTCAATAGACATTGTAATTAAAATAAAAATCATAAAATAAAATATAATCAATACTATATAGATTTTGCTTAATGTTAAGTCAAATATTCTTATATTACTGAAGAAATGCTCGACAAGGGGTGAGCTAATTGGTGGAACAAGAAAGTGCAATAACATTGGTCGATCCGACTTCGAATTAATCCGTTGCCAAATATTAATTCTACTAAAAAAGTGAATTAGACATTATATTTAATAAAATTCATGTATATCTAGCTAGTTTCAAATTAAAGTATGATATATAATAAAATTCATGTATTAATTGTTTAAAAGAAAATGTAATATATAAATTAATCATCTATATAATATATAAATTGAAACCCTCATAGCTTAAGAAATCGACATGTAACATATCCATGTTGCATATCTATATGACATCCACTTCATATCCAATTTGGCATTTTTTATTTCATTTCTATCACCATATTAACAGACACGCATAAATTAATTATTCAATGCACTTACCAATATTAAACACACATTAATTAACAACTTACCAATTAAGGATATTAATTTGTTCCTAGAAATCATGAATTATAGAAACGATATTAATTTGTTCCTAGAAATCATGATATTAATTTCTCTAATTATAGAAACGATATTAATTTGTTCCTAGAAATCATGAATTATAATTACATATATTCCGGTTAATTTAAATCAAGGATGTTTACTTTGTGGAAAATTTGAAATTGTACTTCAATCCGGTAAACATATTGGTGATATAGTGTTCATTCCTCGAATGACGTTAGTACCGTCCAACTCTGCATTGTCTATTAAATTTCAACGACAGTGTCCGGTGATGGTCTCCTTTGTAATAGCAATCAATACAATTCAAGGACAAACTCTTTCTTATGTAGGATTGTACTTGTCCAAACTTGTTTTGAGTCACGGACAACTCTATGTCTCACTCTCGAGAGTTAAGAGTCGAATTGGAGATTTTGATCAAGTCGGAATCTGGTGATACGACCAACATTACAAATAATGTGGTTTATAAGGAAGTTTTTCAATGTATATGAAGGTAACTATATAAAATATTATACAATATTAAATAACGACATTTATTTTGTATTACTTATATGTTTTGTTATTTCTCATTTGTAGGTTAATTTGCATTGTACTAGGAGCTTGCTATGGACTCCGCTCAATTCATCAAGGTAATTTATTGTAGAATGAATTTATATTATTAAAAATTTATACTAGTATTGTTTCGTAATATTTTACTTATTTCGTACGATCTTTGTACAAAATATGTAGGTCAATTGCCTTGTATTATATTTGATTCGTTACATGCGTTTAGGGCGGTTGGGTATCAAAACACAGTGACACTAATTGTTTGGATCAAATTCAAGTTTTGAATAGAAATATATCATTATAGTTGTAAAAGTTTGAGACCAACGATATATCCACTCTTTGTCTGCGGAATTTAAAACATTGGATAGCTTTTTTATTTTATTTTGGCTTATTTCATCACCTACACTATACAAAATAGTTTTCTTTTAAAAAAAAAATCTATTTCTTTGTATTGCATATCAACAATTGATCATACTATTTCGAGAACCTTTTTATTATTAAATGTTTGCTTTTATGATGAATACTCCGTGCAACGAACGGGTGAACTACTAGTACATATAAAACTAGACAAGTAACTCAATTAAATGCTCCGTTTATTAATAATAATGTAGCAAGGTTTACATCTATTACACATATATTATAATTATTAAAATCCTTAATAATCTCGAAGAATTTCCCCTTTATCCAATTATTTGTAGCTACCACAATACTGAAGCACTTCCCTTCATAAAACCTTAACCAATCCTGCAGAAAAAATAAATAAATAAATAAATAAAACTCAATTAAAATTTATTGAGCTACTCGAATATTTCTATTTCTAGAAAGAAAAAAAAGGGAATTATTTCGACTTACTGGTTAAATTCGATTTTGATAATTCCAGCGACCGGATTAGCAATGGCAGCAAAGGCTTCTCTAGAGAGATCTAGGGTTCCGCCACATCCAGGGCAGTGATCGACAATCTTAACCACCACGCTCTGGCCGGTGCACGGATGTGGAACGGGGTTAGTGGGTCCGGTGCATGTGACGTTAAATACTTTCCCACAAATACCCCCGTTCGCCCATAGCGGATCGCTCGCTGCAGCTATCATAACTCCACTGTCTTTGTTCCCATAGCATGCCGAGGCTGCAATAATAAAAAATATATAATTTTAATGCTATATATATATAATCTATATATTCGAGTAGATTGATTAATTAGCTCAAAATTCCTTTTTTTTTTATATTGAAAAAAAAAAAGTAACGAGTAAAATAGAAATACATCGATCGACTTACGAACATAGCTTGTGTAGAAAGTGGCTGTTCCTGGTGTAGCCAAAGCAACAGACAATAAACATGCCACAACACCAAAAATAATTGTGAGGCTTTTTTCGAATGCCATTTTCGTTATTTTATTTTTTTTTATTTTGGGGATTATTTATTTATTTATTTTTCTCGAACTATTTTGATCTTCACAACTTGATAAAATCATTGAATTTTAGGCACCATTTTATAGTTGAAAATATGTGGGATGAAAAGGCTACTTTACAAAAGATTTGGGTAACTAAATTAATCATTATGAAATTAAGGTAGCAATGCATCATTTAAGTTGCTATATTATCCCCCAAGACAATTAGATTATGGACAATTTAGATAATACTTAGTGAAGAATGATTACATGGTAACCCTGTTACCATATATGTACCATTCGATATACATTTGGTACAATTCAATATTGAAATTCATATACAATATTATAATGTAATAACATGAAGTGTACTGAGTAAACTTTGCCCTCGTAATAATTCGAATCAATCCATTCCTTAAAATAATAATTTTGCAAAAAAAAAAAAGAAAAAAAAAAATAATAATAGAACCAAACTAATGGCTTGAGACTATTTATTATTGTTCTATTAGCTATAAAATAGATAGCATCAAGGGATGATATTTATATAATAGGGTAAAGTTCGTCTATCTGAATTATACGACGTATAAAAAATCTCTAAGAACTTTAAAATGAATCAAAGTTAATACCTCCTTTGGTTGGAGTGATTAGCCAGTATTCATTAAATAACATTAGTAGAAAAATGACTGTTTACAATGATTTTTTTCCTACGGTAAAACGCCATAATAAAAGATATCTTTTACAACGAGACAATCTTGGAATTGTATTAAATGTTAGGGTTTACCGTAGCAAAAAGTATTTGTTACGGCCATTTACGGTAGCAAAGTTTTTGTCACACCCGTATATGCTACGGGGCAAATGCGTAGGAAAAATCTTTTTACTATGAATATGGTACCTTTTGCTACGGCTAATGGTCGTAGTAAAAAGTCAATTTTTCCACTAGTATAATTGGACTTTGTTTGATGTTTGATATCTCCAATAATTACTTGTCGGGTCGACCTGCAAATATTATATTATCATAGTTTGTTTTGCCTTATCTTGTTTTTTATGAAGTTTTTTTTTTTATTAGACGTTCTTGTTCTTGAAACCAAAACCTGAAACCCGAAATCCGAAACCTTATAACCCGAAACCGAAATCCGAAAACCCGAAACCCGAAAAACTGAAAACCCAAAAACCCGAAAATCGAAACCGAAATAAAGGCCTAATAAGATGTAAAAATGGATCATGGGCTTCTGGTTTATGATCTTCGTGAAAAGTCATCTTTGAAAATTATGCATAGAAAACTAAAAGTCATTTCCATTGAAAAATGACATATATGCATGGCAAAATAAATTTCCTCCTTCCATTTATTTCTATTTTTAGCAAAATTAGTCATGTGCAGAATTACTCTATTTTGCATTCCGCCATTGTTGAAAAGTTTGGCACGTCTGCGGAGGGTACCAATTTAATCGTGAAAAGTCATGTTTGACTAGTTAAATTAAATGAATCTATAAGAACATTCATAATTAATTGGGTACATTAATAATAAAATAATTATAATTAAGAAAGTGATAGATTAAATAAAATAAATAAAAATATATACTATAAAATTCGGGTTTTCTAGACATTGCGATTACATGTTCCACAAATACATGAATGATTCATCCCGAAATTAAAATTGAAGAAATTTAGTTCAATTAAAATTGTGAGGATTGTGCAAAAACTAACCGTTTCTCGGTTTATGAGATCCTGCATCTACACCATGTGGTTCTAAATGGTAGATCTACATAAATAACTATCCACTAAACACACATATATATACATATTGGATATGGATAGATCAATGGTACGGTGTAAAAATTATATAGTGTATTTCACCAGGTGTAGATTCTACAAAACCATGTTTCTCGTATTTAGGCATCTAAGAACCATAATTTATGCTCATTTGCCCAGAAAATGGCGATCGTTGATCCACGGATCGTTTTTACATTCAAATTAAAAAAGTTTGGTCAAAAATCCTACTTCAAAACTCATTAGGCCTTAATTTCCTTCAATCTTTCACGCCATACCCTAGAAACCTATAGGTGGTGTTTGTAAAAGTTTATTTAAAAGTCGAAGTTATTGATTGTGTGTTGAGTTGGAATTAAGTGCTTATTTCTAAAAGTTGGAATTGTTCGCAAATTAGTTGAAAAATCAACTAAAGTAGAAAAAACAGGTACACCGTGCTTTAAAATTATAGCTTAAAACAACTTATTTTAAGATAAGCAAAAACAAAAGCTTGTTTTACAACCATCTAAAAACAAATTATATACAAAAATTTAAAAAAAAAATTCATAATCTATTTTTAAAAGCTTTTGCAAACACCACGAAGTCAAATAATAGCCCAAAATCACTTTAAAGTTTAAATTTGCTATGCTCTATATATCAAGATAATTAATGTAAGGAAAATTCAGCGAAGCTCAATTGATGAACAAAAACTCAATTCTCAGACGTGTCTTATCAATTGCCAAACAAAAAAAAAATCAACTATATATTTTTCCACAGTCATTATTTCCGAAAAATAAAACGTGTGTTATACGTATAGTACAAGACTATTATTG